TTTTTTTTTTTTTTTTTTTTTTCCAAAACGATAGGCATATATTTCATCAATAAAAATCAAAGTACAATTTGCAAGCTAATTAGCCTATTGTTAATCACATAAAAATAACAGAGGCCTTCCTAACACGGAAGGCCTAAACACCAACCAACAATGTCCTAAGACAACACAATCATAGCATGAAAATGCCAAACAATAAGACAGCTAGAGGCAGAAAACCTGCAACCAATAGCTATACCACCCAACACAGAAATAAAGATAACAGAACAAGACATACAACAATGAAGGAAAGATAAAGATACCACTGAACCAACTAAGGACCTAGTGATTTTGTACTTCTTCACTGTTCCATTCCAGTTCTGCAGGATTTGAATTCCAACCAATCATTTTGTGCTGCTTTGAGTATTGCAAAATCTGGCATCCAAATAGCTTGAAATTTCAAGAGACATCGAGCCTTCCAGAGCCACCATAGAATATATGTGTTCAATTCTATCCTGGACTCTGAATTGTCTTTCCTATCAACCGAGAAGATATTCCACCACCAATATCTGAAACTGCCTGGTGTTGCAGCCTCATTCCATTGAACTGGGGCAAATTTCCAGACCCTCTTAGCTCTCTCACAATACAATAGGACATGCTCCACTGATTCAAACTCATCACCACAGCAAGGACATCTAGGATCAACATCTAGCCCCCTCTGCTTCAAATTCAGACAAACAGGAAGAGAATTGTTGTAACACTTCCAAGTGAAGTGTTTGAGTTTTTGTTTAATCTTCAAGCTCCAGCTTCTTCCTTTGATGACTTTCTCTTTTTGAGTAGAACTACTACCCTCAGCTACATCCAGATCCATTAGCTTATTCAACACCAGGTGGGAATATGAGCTAGCCACAGAAAATTTGCCTTTGACATCTAACTTCCATTTCCACTTGTCTGCCAGTAATGGATCAAGAGATTTGATTTTCATGATTGAACCAATGTCAGACTGATGGAAACATTCTTCCAACAAATTTCTGTTCCACTCTTTGCCACCCTCATGAATGAGGTTCTTCACCCAAGCCACCTTACCCATCCCTACTTCATGACTGATAGGCAGCCCATCCTCTTTCCCAAGTAACCATGGATCAGTCAAAATATGTATATGCCTACCATGCTTCACTTCCACTTTAAAACAGGTTTTGAACTTATCCCTAACCCCTATCCAATTGTTCCACAGCCAAGATGAGTTATATGGCTTCCTAGCTTGCAGGACAGAACAATCATGAAAATACTTCTCTTTCAATACCTTAGTCATCAGCAGGTTGGGGTGTGTGACAACTCTCCAGAGTTGTTTGAGTATGAGAGCCTCATTGAACAGTTCAACATCCTTGAATCCCAGCCCCCCCACTGCTTTTGGAAGTGTCATTTTTTGCCACCTTTTCTAATAAACTCCACTTTGTAATGCTCCCTGGCTCCACCAAAATTTGGCCTCTAATCTAGTAATATCTTGGCAGACACACTTAGGAAGGCAGAAACAAGACATGGAGAAGACAGGTAAAGCTCTCAGAACAGCCTTCATTAAAACTTCTTTACCTGCTGAAGACAGGAAAGGATTTTTCTAGCTTACAAGCTTATTTCTCACTGCTTGTATAATATAATCAAAGGACTCTTTCTTTGATCTTCCAATACCTAGTGGCAAACCTAGGTGTCTTGTAGATCTATGCATTTGAATACCCCCTAGCAGCTGGCATATGAAAATTTTCTTTACAAGTGAGTAGTTCTCGCTGAAAAAAATGGAAGACTTCCCTAAATTAACTCTCTGACCTGTAAACTTCTGATAAACATGCAGCAAGCTCATAAGTACTCTGGCATGGCTCTCACTAGCCTCACACATGACTAGGGTGTCATTTGCAAACATTAAGTGGGACACTGTTGGGCTGTTTTTGGCAATTCTGAGACCACTGAAAATTCTTACTATATAGTTTGTCTGAATTTGATCTTGCAAATTCTTACTAACATTGGTAAATTCGTTGGCAATTCATAAGTAAATTAGTAAATAACTAATATGTTGGTTTTCTGTTACTAATTTAGCAACAAAATATTTAGCAACTACATTATCTGTTGAGAATCTCTTCACAATATATAGCATCTCCGTTGCAAATCCGTTGGTAAACTCATGTGGCATTCCGTTGTTACCAATTGATTATTTCATTGGTAAAACACATATTTATTCTACTGTTAAGTGTCATGGAATTGAAGTTTAATTGAAGAATATATATGTTGATATAAAAATTTGGTGGGTCGAATCAGGTGTGTGGCCCGAGTCGAAGAGCTTCAACGATGATGGGATGGAACCCATACCACTTACATGGAACGGAATTTGCCAGTCTGGTGATGCATTCAACTCATCAAACTGTAATAGGTAACTTTTGTATGCAACTTTTATTATACGTATTTTTATTTTCTTTCATTTTTTTCTTGATGAAATGCAACCTAAATTTCATTTCATGAAATATTCATAATTTGCAACAGGAAGATAATCGGCGCTCGGTATTACCACAAGGGCGCGGAAGCGGTGTTAGGCCACCCGGTGAACCGAACAATAGACTTTCTTTCTCCCCGTGACGCGCACGGGCATGGGACCCACACTGCATCCACGGCCGCTGGACGGCGGGTCGACAACGCCTCGTCGGTCGGCGGCTTTGCCCTGGGAGTCGCCACCGGCGGCGCCCCGCTGGGACGCCTCGCCATTTACAAGGCGTGTTGGTTGTCCTTAGACTGCTCCGAGGCCGACGTCCTTGCCGCCTTCGACGATGCCATAGCCGATGGGGTCCATATCATTAGCATCTCTATGAACGATTACAATCAACTCCCTTACGCCTCGAGTTGCATAACAGTCGGAGCCTTCCACGCGGTCCGAAATGGCATTGCCGTGGCCTGCAGTGCTGGGAATTACGGCCCAACCCCCTCTACCGTGCGTAATGAGGCCCCGTGGACGGTCACGGTCGGCGCCGCCAGCGTGGACAGGATATTTGCAGCACCGGTTTTGCTCGGGAACAACATTACAATCCCGGTAACTCGAGATTTCGTCCGTTGAATACCAGTTAGTTGACTACATATTTTAACGTTGGATTGTTCGAATCTATTAATATATAAAGAGGCAATGATGTTTACTTGAAATAGTAACAAAAAATCAGCAAAAAAACATTTGGTTTCCCGCCTAAACAATCAATATTAATTGAAGTCGGAGACTACCTATCTCAATCCCATAACCACCTTCACAAGAATCATTTTTTTTTTTTTTTTTTTNCAAAGATTTTTCGGTACATTTGCTTTTGCACCAACCACATACTTTGAAGATGTCAAATTTTGAAATTCAGTTCTTATGATATGAGATGATAATGAATTGGGGAGTTTATATGTGAAATTTTTTTGTATTTATTGATTTCTTGTAGCTGTAAGTATGGCTTTGGTGGTCTCGATTTCAATCCCATGACTAATGATTTATATCATATGTGTAATAGTAGCTTCTTATATGGAAGTGAATATATATGTATTTCGAAAAACTATTTTAACCAGAGCATCCAACAATATCTTCCGATTCAAATGATTGAAAAAATGGAATTAAAATTTGAATAAAAATAGAATTTTCATGGATTTTTTTCTAACAGGGTCAAACACTAACTTCGTATAAGTTGAAAAGAAAGCTTTATCCATTGGTTTCTGCGGATCAAGTGATCAACCCTGGCGTGGACAAAAACTTAACCAGGTGAAGTATTTCTTATTCTAGCTTTTACCACTTAGCGTGCTGCACGTCGTGAATATGCATCATGACTGGTTATTTTAGCATTTTTTTTTTTTTTTTGAAATTAGATATATTGCACCAAGTACTAAATATGACACTGTTGATGATCACATTGTGACCAATAAATGTACCTTAATAATTAAGGTGTGTTCTCTATTGAAACCAAAAAGCAAAACCCATGATGATTATTATTATCATTTTGGAAATGGAAGTGTGATATATTTTAGGGTTGAAATCATATGGTGCAGGGAATGCTCAGATGGCTCCCTCTCTCCCAAGAAGGCTAAGGGAAAAATCATACTTTGTTTCGCAGAAACTGGAGATACGTGGGAGAAAGGGAAAGAGGTAAAACGAGCCGGCGGTTATGGTCTCATCATCGCAAGTAATAAAGTCGAAGGAAACACCTTAAGTATAACTATCGACGACCATGTCCTTCCCGCCACAGCCGTCGACTACACCAATGGCCTCCATATCATGAAATACATTCAATCTGCAACAAGAGCAAAGGCATATATCGTGCCAGCTAAGACAGTTTTAGGCGCCAAGCCAGCGCCTATACCATATGTTTATTCGAGCAGAGGCCCCAGCACAATATCTCCAGACATTCTCAAGGTAAAAATCATTTTCATATACACATACCCAAATCACATTAAACAACAATATTATAATTAAATCCAAGTACGTACGGCTGAATAAATGGATGAATGATTAAATTTATATATATATACTATCTGTTGGTGCAGCCGGATATCACGGCTCCTGGGATGCATATATTAGCAGCTTGGAAAGAAGGATCTCCATTGGGTCTTGATGCTGATGTGGAAAAATATCGGATCATAACAGGCACGTCAATGGCAAGCCCACACGTGGCCGGTGCCTTGGCTCTTCTCAAGGCAGTGCATCCTGATTGGAGCCCCTCTGCCCTACGATCTGCTCTCATGACATCTGGTACCCACAAATATACCCTGTAACTGTAATAAATCACTAAATCTATATATAGCAGTTATAAATATTCCTTTTTTTTTACTTATGACATCATCATAGCTAGACACGTGTCATTCATAAACCCAATTTGTTGTTCCCTTGCAGCGACACTAATAAACAACGAGGGTAACCCCATCACAGATCACACTGACGCCCTGGCCACCCCTTTTGTGCTCGGGTCGGGTTTTTTCAACCCGACAAAGGCAGTCGACCCGGGACTCGTCTACGACGCTTCTCACACAGACTATCTCATCTTCCTCTGCAGCATCGGAGAGTACAATCTCACCGGTTCCTTTAAATGTCCAGAAAACCCACCATCTCCGGGTAATCTAAACTACCCATCTGTCGCAATACCCGAACTGAAAGGCACCGTCACAGTCCTTAGGACCGTCACCAACGTCGGCTGTCGTGGGGCCCTTTATGTTTCGAGCGTCCAATCTCCACAGTGGTTCACCGTGAAAATCACGCCGGCTGTACTTTATTTCGGCCGTGAACGTGAGAAGAAAAATTTCACTGTCACGGTGAAGATGAATAGTTCTTTTGTGGGGAAGATTAAGAAAGGACAGTACGGCTTCGGACGGCTCAAGTGGTCCGACGGCGTTCATGATGTGGTCAGCCCGCTTGCTGTCTCCGTGGCTTAGTTTCCTTGATACCAAAACGTTGTTGTTTTAATGCACTTCCTAATAAAGGTATATATATGGTAGTTGTTTTGGGAAAGTTGAATAAATGAGAAGAAATTATTGGACTCTAAAATTAATTTGATAAATCACTCATTAC